CGGTGTGATCGTACGCTTCAGGAACCAGCCAAGACCGATCACACCGGTGTTATCGTACGCTTCAGGGACCAGCCAAGACTGATCACATCGTGTGATCGTACGCTTCAGGGACCAGCCAAGACCGATCACACCGGTGTTATCGTACGCTTCAGGGACCAGCCAAGACTGATCACACCAGTGCGATCGTACGCGTTAAAGGGTTAAGCTATCATATGGCTTCAGAAGTAACACTGAATAATTTGCACAATCGAAAAAAATAATTTTTTCGGATTTGGATCGGCTCTCTCTGACCGATACCCGATCCGAGAAAAATGGCACTATCGGAGCCGATAGCCGATATGAATATTGGATCGGCGCATCCCTAGAGAAAATCACTCCGTTTTTAATCTGAATTACGTTAGCTTTAATAAGCATTAATCTATCGAATTATACAGTGAAAAGTATGCAGTGTTATTTTACATTTACTTATTTTATTATATTCCTAGGCTGCATTATTTATTGGAACAGTAATGTTAGCAGATCTCCATGAAAAAAATCATGCACTGTTTATTGTATTTGTCAGTTTATTTTGCTTTATTTCTTTGTTCATTTTCTTACTGTATCTTATACCCATCCCTAGTTAAGATACAAATATTAAACATTTATGAAAAGTGCTTTTCTTACCTTGAATATACATGGGAGATTTTCTTTGAAAACCTTGTGGTTCCCGTGAGCCTGAACATCTGAATGTATTGTCTTACGTTGAACACTGCTAGTAAATAAAATAAAATACTGTATTTCTAGGTAAAACACTAAAGAAATCTCTCTCTTTATTTTGTTTTAAGAAAGAGAACAACGAAAGCATCATCTGTTTCAGTTAAATTTTAAAGTGTAGAATCTGTGTACATAATTTTTGTTGCATTGTGGTACAGATTTTAATGAAAGGAAAAAAATAGGTCTGTTATTATAATATTTTCTGTCATGTAAACAAATAAAACAGTGGCTAACAGTGGCCTTTTAAGTTTTTTAAAGCATTGCTCTTTGTGAGAACAAGTATAGTTATATGTCAAATAAAACATACAATGTGAATACTTTGGTAAATATTTAACTATATGATAAACATTCACTGATATATTTTCTGTAACAGAAATCCATGAAATACCTTTTGGCAGATGATGGAGTTTTCTCACTGAAGCTTGGTCCTTCATCTCTTGAGCAGTCACTCTTCACAGACACAGAGCTGGACACACGTGATCCTGATCTTACACTAATGACACAGAACACATGAGCGGGAAACACTGACTGTGGAATCTGCACAATACTTGTCCTAAATGTAACCATTTTAATATTAATTTTAGAAATTAGTATTGCACATGAAATACCTTTTGGCAGATGATGGAGTTTTCTCACTGAAGCTTGGTCCTTCATCTCTTGAGCAGTCACTCTTCACAGACACAGAGCTGGACACACGTGATCCTGATCTTACACTAATGACACAGAACACATGAGCGGGAAACACTGACTGTGGAATCTGCACAATACTTAATACCTAAATTTTGAATATGTATTAATTAATTCTAATAATTTTGTTTTAATCTGTGACTATGTAAAAACATGTAGGTAGTTTAAAAGTTTAAAAAGTAGAATTTGCAAATCTAAATCAATGCATAAGATTTTATTGTAGAGAGGATAAATCTGAAGCTGGAGCAGTGTTTAAAGTGCCTCAGTGTCACCTGTGTTTCTGTGAGAGACGGGTCTCTGTTCCTCGCTCCTCTGACATCCTGCAGCTGAACTGATCCGCACTGGCTGAGAACACACCTGCAGATGAACAACATCACACTTATTCAGGAACATCAAGAAGAAACCAGAGTCACACAAAATAACTCTAGCAAATCAACTGATTACAGACATATATTACACTGTAGCACACAAAGATCTCAATCATTTCAGATCCTCTAATGACAAGTTCAGGAAATAGATATTAGCCAAGTGTGTTCCCTGTTGTGTTGCAGTTTATTATTTATCAGCCTAAAACTTCAGAAACGTTCGTTTTTTAAAACCCCTTCCTAGAAACTTTATGCTTTAACAGTATTTTCTGACAGGTTCTTCATCAGAGTAACAGCCTGTGAAAAACTGAAGAACAGGCCTTAACTTCACATTTAAATCACGCTCACACAGACAGTACGAAACACATAGCCCAAATAACCGAGAATAAATGAAATGTACTTGCAGTCGTGAGCCCAAGGAAGAGAATGTAGAAATATCTGAAGCACTATTTTTCTGTCCTTTACTGTTGTTGTTTGTCCCGTCAGACCAGTTCGTATTTTGGTTTCGTTTTCGTCTTCTTCTGGTTTTCTCTGGCCGTTCTCAAACAAATGAACAGGTTCACAGCGACACCTGCTGGACTGGAGACTGAATTTATCTTTTATAGTTCTAAAGGTTTAAAATCTGATTTTAACACTGCAGTTTTATTGTCCCTGTTTCTGGATTATTATCTGAGATGCCTGACATCCTGTTTGTATCGTTTATGCTTCCTAATATGGATCACATAAACCTGTATTATTATGCTTCTGCTGTTTGAAAGTGATGTGTTCCTTTACATCTTTCTTTTCAGGCTTTCTCTTCTTTGGCTCCTAAATTGTGAAATTCCCTGCCCTCTGAGATCAGGAATGCAGAATGCCTTAGTGTTTTTAAATCGTCCCTTAAAAATTACTTTTATAGGGTAGCTTTTATGTGATTTATGTGATTACTTTGTCTGTTATTATATTAACTTTGTATTGTTTGGTTAGACTTTACTGCCTGTACTGTTCTGTGTATATCTTTTAACTTCATATTTTTATATATATGTAAAGCGCTTTGAGATGCTACTTTTAAAGGCGCTATATAAAATAAAGTTTATTATTATTATTACATCAACATTAGCTGACTTGCATTGCCTTATATAGCTACAGCGTATTAAATATATCCAGCTGTTTTAAGCAGCATGCCATCAGTTTATCTTCTCTGCTAACTTCACTGACACTCTTTCAGATTCATTTATTTCAGCAGCAACAAAGTGTCCTGTCCATCTGATTGTTGATCATTACTGATGGTCATAATACACTTCACATGATGTGATGAACTCTAGTGGTGATCTTGAGAAACTGCTGATACATTTTCCATTCTATCAGTAAACTGATGCAGTTTGAGGTGCAGCATTTTATCCTTACGAATAAAACTAATTCTACAAGATTTGACTTCCTTATGCTAATGTGTTTATGATTATTAATGTGGCGCTCCTGAAAGTTTCTATCTCAGATAGGCTACTTGTCAACATCTTCCTTGGCTGTAGTTGTTTGTTTCCTATATGAATTTAATAAAACATGCCTTTTCATAACAAGGATGTTGTTTTTAATTCACCTTCTCAGTCATGATGGATCACAGGAATCCTTATATGTTATATGACACGTCTTTATATAATAGTCAGGTCTGAATGTTTCTTCTCAAGACCACTCATGGTTTTAATCAGGAGAATGAGTATAGAGTTTGTGCATTACTTCCCTGAATCTGTTAAAGCAGTGCAATGTAATTTGTTACTGTTATTAGTTATTCTTACCTCTGTGTCAGCGATGAGAGAGCACCAGTCTGTTCAGGTTTATTTTGTTTTAGTGTTTATGTATTTAGAGTGGGACACCAGTGTCAAGAATAATGTGTCCTGTGTCCTGTACAGTATTTGCATAGACCTTTGCAGTAGAAGATATATTGTTACGATTCTTGGTTAAAGAAAATGGTTACAGTGCTAATACAGTGGAAGCGTTCAATACATGCTAAGTGGCTTCAGATGTACACGCAAAACAGTGTGCTCCTAATCTAAACAATGTTTTCATATTTATTATAGCAATAAATGTGTTGCACCAGAGGGACAAGCACAGCCTCATTCTTCACAAGTGTAATAGATAGTTCACCCAAAAATGAAAATTCTATCATTAATTACTCATCCTCATGTCATTCCAAACCGGCAAGACCTTCGTTCATCTTTGGAACACAAATTAAGATATTTTTGACTAAATCTGAGAGCTTTCTGACCCTCCACAGTCAGCCCTGCAACTTATACATTTGAGCTCCAGAACAGAAGGAAAGACATCATTAAAATAGTCCACGTGACTCCAGTAGTTTAACCTTAATTTTATAAAGCAACGTGAGTGCTTTGTTATTTGTTATTTGCATTTGTGCCCATCTCTGCTCTAAACACAGTTCTCTACATTACACACATCACTCAAAACTAACAGCACTCTTGTTCCATTTGGGAAACACTGCCACACTCATTTACTGAAGACCTACACACAGTTATCATGTGTTAAAACACTTCATTATCATTTCAATATCATTTGGTCACTTAGAAATCAAAACTCATTGTTTTGATAAAGAAATTATTTTTCCACCTTTCATTATATTGTATGTATGTATGTACAGGATGTATAGATATGACTGTTCTTGAATGGCCCAGCCAGAGCCCTGACTTAAACCCAATTGAGCATCTCTGGAGAGACCTAAAAATGGCTGTCCACCAACGTTTACCATCCAACCTGACAGAACTGGAGACATGGGATATTTCAGTTTTTCTTTTTTAATAAATCTGCAAAAATGTCAACAATTCTGTGTTTTTCTGTCAATATGGGGTGCTGTGTGTACATTGAGGAAAATAAATTAACTTAAATGATTTTAGCAAATGGCTGCAATATAACAAAGAGTGAAAAATTTAAGGGGGTCTGAATACTTTCCGTACCCACTGTATATGATAGTTATATAAATAAATAATTTTCTCATTGGCAGCACAGTCTAGCTTTGCCCATGTGTGTGTGTAGTATGCAGCAAATTAACTCATTTTTGATTTGATAAAACTTACTATCACTTAGTGGAGGTAAATAGAGGTTAGTATGAAAGCTTGAGTATTGGTGACTCTTTTACAATTTCAGTACTTGGTTCAGTCAACAAAGATTTAAGTACATTGAATTCAAAACAGTTTTCTTAATCTTGTTCTCTACAGTTCACTTGAGAAGTAGCACATTCACAGCTGTTACAAATGACTATGCAGGGTAAAGTTTAAGTACAAATAATTACAAAGAAACATCAATTAAAACATTTTTTTAGAAAATTACATTTTGAAGTAAAATACTGAAATGGTGTTTTCTTGTAAAATGTACTCATTGTTTAATGCCTCTTTTTTAATGCAGCACAAGTGATATCAAGCCACTTGACTGGAGTATTATGGAACAACACAACTATCATCATTGAATAATTATTTCAAGTGATTTATATGTTTCTGGCATGTTGTGTGTTTGGCAACCATTCTTTTAACCCTGGCCTAACTGTGGTGTATTCCAGAAAGCACGTTTAACTTACCGTCAGAGAAACCCTGAACTTTCAGTTGATTAACCCCATACCTTGCTTACTCGAGGTATGTGGTTCCAAAAACGCATCCGGGAGTAAGTTCGTTCAACTCAGAGCGTGTTCCTGGTTAAGACTCAAGACATTCTCAACAGAGTGACGAATCGACGAGTCACTATGGAAACGGACGCTAAGAAAAAGCGTGCCATGCTGTTTCTTTCTTCTTCTTTTGTTCAATGGTCGTTTACATGCTTAGTGCATATCGCCAACTAATTGATGGTTGTGCAATCATTTTTATTTTTTTTCCGTTTAATATTTAATCCTTGAGAATATGAATTATATTGTTTGTTTGATGCTAATTATATATTAATTCATAGCAGATATGTATTTTGATTTGAAATTTAGACATTATAGAAAATGTCGATCCATGTGTGAGCTGATAATATAAAATGTAATAAATAAATATATATAATATAATAAATTAAACATTGCCTTGTCATAGTGTTTTATAATTTATACAGATAACTGTTATATACTGAACAAAATTATAAACGCAACACTTTTGTTTTTGCCCCCATTTTTCATGAGCTGAACTCAAAGATCTAAGACTTTTGTCATGTACACAAAAGGCCTATTTCTCTCAAATATTGTTCACAAATCTGTCTAAATCTGTGTTAGTGAGCACTTCTCCTTTGCTGAGATAATCCATCCACCTCACCGGTGTGGCATATCAAGATGCTGATTAGACAGCATGATTATTGCACAGGTGTGCCTTAGGCTGGCCACAATAAAAGGCCACTCTAAAATGTGCAGTTTTATCACACAGCACAATGCCACAGATGTCGCAAGTTTTGAGGGAGCATGCAATTGGCATGCTGACTGCAGGAATGTCAACTAGAGCTGTTGCCCGTGAATTGAATGTTCATTTCTCTACCATACGCCGTCTCCAAAGGCGTTTCAGAGAATTTGGCAGTACATTCAACCGGCCTCACAACCGTAGACCACGTGTAACCACACCAGCCCAGGCCCTCCACATCCAGCATCTTCACCTCCAAGATCGTCTGAGACCAGCCACCCGGACAGCTGCTGCAACAATCGGTTTGCATAACCAAAGAATTTCTGCACAAACTGTCAGAAACCGTCTCAGGGAAGCTCATCTCGCCGTCCTCATCGGGGTCTGGACCTGACTGCAGTTCATCATCGTAGGGTTAGGGTTAGGGTTTATATATCCAGTAATCAGAACAAAGTCCAATTACGGTTATGCACGGACCTTCGACCCAACTGGCCACCAATCTACAGCTTCTAGAGGCCCAGAGATAATTTTTTGCTGATGCAAAAAATTCCCAAACAGGGTTAGGGTTAGGGATTATAAATCCAGTAATCAGAACAAGGTTAGGGATTAAAAAATCCAAAAATCGAAACAGAGTCCTATTTCGGTTGTGCACTGTCCTTCAATTCCTTCTGGCCACTTCCTAGCTCTGTTCAGGCCTGGCCCCATGACCAGGTTAGGGTTAGGGTTAGGTATATAGATAAAAACGAGTTCGACCCTCATTAATTCCA